GCATTAAGTCCATTTACATTTAGGGTGACTATTGAAAGATATGTACTTATTGCCATTGCAGGCTTTAGATTCGTGGTTACCAAAGGTTCAAGGTTAGCTTCTTTAGTATCTTACTGCCTAACTTAGCTCGCTTATTGAGCTGTTATATACACTGTCTGGAGAGTCTTTTCTTCTCTCCCTTCTTATTCCTCCTCCTCCATTCTTCATATGTTGTGTGTTTTGTTCTGTGCTCTTTTTAGGGGTGCTCCCATCTAGAGCAGTCCCTGTAGGATGCCCTGTAGAGGTGGTTTGTGGGAAGCAAATTCCCTCAGCTTTTGCTTGTCTGGGAATTGTTTGATCCCACCATCATATTTAAATGATAGTCGTGCTGGATACAGTATCCTTGGTTCAAGGCCCTTCTGTTTCATTGCATTAAGTATATCATGCCATTCTCTTCTGGCCTGTAGGGTTTCTGTTGAGAAGTCTGATGTTAGCCTGATTGGTTTTCCTTTATAGGTGACCTTTTTCTCTCTAGCTGCCTTTAAAACTCTTTCCTTGTCCTTGATCCTTGCCATTTTAATTATTATGTGTCTTGGTGTTGTCCTCCTTGGATCCTTTCTGTTGGGGGTTCTGTATAATTCCATGGTCTGTTCGATTATTTCCTCCCCCAGTTTGGGGAAGTTTTCAGCAATTATTTCTTCAAAGACACTTTCTATCCCTTTTCCTCTTTCTTCCTCTTCTGGTATCCCTATAATACGAATGTTTTTCCTTTTGTATTGGTCACATATTTCTCTTAGTGTTGTTTCATTCCTGGAGATCCTTTTATCTCTCTCTATGTCAGCTTCTATACGTTCCTGTTCTCTGGCTTCTATTCCTTCAATGGCCTCTTGCATCTTATCCATTCTGCTTATAAATCCTTCCAGGGATTGTTTCACTTCTGTGATCTCTTTCCTGACATCTGTGATCTCCTTCCGGACTTCATCCCACTGCTCTTGCATTTTTCTCTGCATCTCATCCCACTGCTCTTGCATTTTTCTCTGCATCTCATCCCATTGCTCTTGCATTTTTTTCTGCATCTCTGTCAGCATGTTCATGATTTTTATTTTGAATTCTTTTTCAGGAGGACTAGTTAGGTCTGTCTCCTTCTCAGGTGTTGTCTCTGTGATCTTTGTCTGCCTGTAGTTTTGCCTTTTCATGGTGATAGAGATAGTCTGCAGAGCTGGTACAAGTGACCGCTGGAAGAGCTTCCCTTCTTGTTGGTTTGTAGCCTTTTCCTGGGAGAATAGCGACCTCTAGTGGCTTGTGCTGGGCAGCTGTGCGCAGACAGGGCTTCTGCTTCCTGCCCAGTTGCTTTGGGGTTTATCTCCGCTGTTGCTGTGGGCTTGGCCTGGCTGGGGCTGTTCCTCCAAAATGGTGGAGCCCCGTTGGAGGGGGAGCAGCCAGGAGACTATTTATCTCCGTAAGGGGCCTCTGTGCTCCCTGCTGCCCAGGGGGTTAGAGTGCCCAGAGATCCCCAGATTCCCTGCTTCTGGTCTAAGTGACCTGTCCTGCCCCTTTAAGATTTCCAAAAAGCACTCTCCAAACCAAAACAACAACAGCAACAATGAGAGAGGGAACAGAAAGGAAAAAAAAAAGAAAAAACACGCGTTTTTTTTTTTTTTCCTCAGGTGCCGGTCCCAGGCACCCGCGCACTGGTCCTGCTGCCCTGTCTCCCTAGCACCAGGGTCCCTGTCCTTTCAAGGCTTCCAAAAAGCACCCACCCACCGGTCCCGCAGGGAAGGAACGCTCAATATTCTTTGTCCTCAGGCACTGGTCCCACGCACCCGCTCACCAGTCCCGCCGCCCTGCCTCCCTAGCACCGGGGTCCCTGTCCCTTCAAGGCTTCCAAAAAGCACTTGGCAAAAAGAGAGAAAAAAAAGGGGAAAAACGCGCGATTTCTTCCGTCCTCAGGTGCTGGTCTCAGGCACCCACCCACCGGTCCCACAGGGAAAAACGCGGGATATTCTTTGTCCTCAGGTGCCGGTCCCAGGCACCCGCTCACCAGTCCCGCCGCCCTGCCTCCCTAGCACCGGGGTCCCTGTCCCTTTAAGGCTTCCAAAAAGCACTCGCTAAAAAGAGAAAAAAAAAGGGGAAAAACGCGCGATTGCCTCCATTCTCAGGTGCCGGTCTCAGGCACCCGCCCACCGGTCCTGCAGGGAAAAACACGGGATATTCTTTGTGCTCAGGTGCCGGTCCCAGGCACCCGCTCACCAGTCCCGCCGCCCTGCCTCCCTAGCACCGGGGTCCCTGTCCCTTTAAGGCTTCCAAAAAGCGCTCACCAAAAAGAGAAAAAAAAAAGGGAAAAAACTCGCGATTTCCTCCGTCCTCAGGCGCCGGTCTCAGGCACCTTCCCACCAGTCCCGCAGGGAAAAATGCGGGATATTCTTTGTGCTCAGGCGCCGGTCCCAGGCACCCAGTCACCGGTCCCGCCACCCTGCCTCCCTAGCAACGGGGTCCCTGTCCCTTTTAGGCTTCCGAAAAGCACTCGCCAAAAAAATAAAAAACTGCTCCGGTTTCTTTCCACCCGCCGGGAGCCGGGGGGAGGGGCGCTCGGGTCCCGCCGGGCCAGGGCTTGTGTCTTACCCCCTTTGCAAGGTGCTGGGTTCTTGCAGTTGTGGATGTGGTCTGGATGTTGTCCTGTGTCCTCTGGTCTCTATTTTAGGAAGATTTTTCTTTGTTATATTTTCATAGCTCTATGTGTTTTTGGGAGGAGATTTCCACTGCTCTACTCACGCCGCCATCCTGGTTCCCTATTTTATGTTTATGATGCCATTTTTTATACCCAATTATTTAGTGATTCCCTTAACTAATTTTTAGATGTCATTGTTTTTACTACTTCTGTCCTTTTGACCTTCATACTGGCTTTTAAGTGCCTAGTCTACTACATCTAGTATAGGTTTGCTTTTACCAGTGAAATTTTCCCTTTCCTATATTTCTTGCTTCTGGATAGGGTCTTTTCTTTTCTTCTTAAAGAAAAACCTTTAACATTTCTTGTAAGGCCAGTTTAATGATGGTGAACTCTTTTAACTTATGCTTTATCTGTGAAGCTCTTTATCTCCCCTTCCATTCTGAATGATAACCTTGCTGAATGGGTATTGGTTGGAGGATTTTCTCTTTTAGCACTTTGAATATATCATGCCACTCCTTTCTGGCCTGTTGAGTTTCTACAGAAAAATCAGCATCTGACCTAATGGCATTCTCCTTGTAGGCAATGTGTTGCTTTTCTCTCCCTGCTCTTAAGATTCTCTCTTTTGACATTTTAATTGTGCTGTGTCTTGGTGTGGACCTCCTTGGGTTTATCTTGTTTGGGGCTCTCTGCTTCTTGGACCTAGATGTCTGTTTCCTTCCATAGTTAACATATGGAAGTTTTCAGCTATTATTCTTCAAGTAAGTTTTCTACTCCTTTCTCTCTCTCTTCTCCTTCTAGGACTCCTATGATGTAAATGTTTAGATGTTTTGAAATTGTCCTAGGGCTTCTTTAACCTATCCTCATTTCCTTTTACTGTTTTATCAGCTTGAGTGCTTTCCATTACTCTGTCTTCCAAATTACTAGTCCATGCTGCTATCTCTAATCAGTTGATTCCCTCTAGTGTATTTTTCTACTCCTCACTCTCTCGCTCCTTTTGTGGCTTTTCTAATGAGAATGTTTGTATGTTTTAATATTGTCCTATGGCTCCCTTATCTTATCCTCGTTTCTTTTTATTGTTATTGTTCTTTTTTATTAGCTTGCACACTTTCCATTACTCTGTCTTCCAAATCACCAATCCATTCTGCATTCTCTAATGTGTTATTGATTCCCTGTAGTATATTTTTCTTTTCCTTTATTGTATTCTTCACCTCTGATTGATTGTGTTTTATATTTCCTATCTCTTTGTAGAGATTTCATTGAGCTGTTCCACTCCTCTCTCAAATCTGTTCAACATCTTTGAATTCTTTATCTGGGTAGTTTATCTGTGATTCATTTAGTTCTTTTTTTTTTTTTGAGGTTTTGTCATTATTTTGTTTCAAGTGTATTCCTCTTTTTCCTCATTTTGTTTGAATTTCTGTGCTTGATTCTATGAATTAATGGAGAGGGCTAACTCTCCCAGTCTTGAAGGATTGACCTTATGTAAGGGAGGTTCCCTGGGTTAGTTGTATGTACCTGGTGGTTTTGGCTTGCTTTTAGAGGCCTAATGAGTATGAGAACAGGTGTTGTGGTGTCAGGGCTCGGGTGTGGTTGGTGGGGTCATGGTCAGAGAGGCTCCTGAACGGACACTGATGGGGAAGCAGTGGACCCACTGCAACCTTAAGGGAAGTCCCACTTCCAGGGCTACTGGCTCCATGATGATAGGGTGACAACGATAGTGTAGTGACAGTTTGGGTGTGATTTCCAGGAGTTACTGGCCACGAGCTCCAGGGAAGCCCTGCCTGCACAGTTCCTGCATCATGTCTATGGTGCAGCAATGGCCAGGATGTGCTCTCCAGTAGGAAGGCTGCCTGGCTCTGTGCTCCTGGTGCAGCTGCCACCTGAATGTGCTCTCTGGCTGATGCATCTTGGTGGGTGTGAGCAGGGGTGTGTAATTAGTAAGGAAAACAACTAGACAGAAGATTGCCTGTTGGGGTGATTTATCTCTTTATTCAAAATGTAATTTATTGAGTTACTGCTATGTATCAGTCACTGTTGTAGCCCAAGAATATTGCCCTGAAAACAGTTAAAACCAGTGATTTTTTAACTGTCTATTATTTTGGCTACCAGCGTTATTTGGCAATGTCTAGAGACATTTTCATTGTCAAAACTGGTAAGGGGAAGCATTATTGGTATTTTAGTGGGTAGAAGCCAGATATGCTTTTCAATATTCCTCAGTGCACAGGATATTTCCTTATGGGGAAAAAAATGCAAATGTCAGTAATACTGAGATTGAGAAACCCTGGGGTAAGTTTTCATAAGTATATATTTCATAGAATAATCATTGTAGTTGACATTTAACTTTCTTTGTTTTCAGAAGTGAGGAAATTTACTGGAGTAAAATGGAGGCCTCAGGAATATTACCCATTCTGAAGAAAAAGCTAGCTTTCCTTTCAGGTATGTTTTCTTAAAATTGGAGGTGTTTAACATGTAAACTTCTTTTCTTTAATAAATTTGACAAATACATTTCATTTTTCTAGAAGGTTTTGTTTCCAAGGTACTTTGATTCATCTTCTAATCAGAGTGGATAATTACATGAACCAGCTCTGTCACTGTTACTGGGCAGGCCAGTTTTTATTGTGTTCTGTAATTTGGTAAAAATGACCACCACCTCTACAAGTAAGATATCATGACGTCTCCTTATATAAGATTAAGTAATGCAGGCTAAGGATAATTGAGTAACTGGTACTTAAATAATTTTGTTTCTGTAATAGAGAGTAATTTGTTTTTATATATCCTGCATCTTAGTTTTTGTCTTCTTTCTATGAGACAGTTTCACTGCCCTGGAACAGTTAGGAAATATCAGTTACATGGGTTTCACATTTCACTGTTGTAACTTGGTTATACAAGCTTGAATTTATCGCCAGTTATTAACCCAAGGTCTATTATCAGCTGATTCAAAGAGAAGCTGCATTGGGTGAAGTAATTTTCTTGAATTTTGGATTTGAGTAAATTTGAACATACTTTAGAATAGGTATTGTGGCCCATCTGTTTAGGGTTATTTGGACTGTTTTATCTTGCTTTTTCTTTCTTATTCTCTTTAGGCACTATCAGGATTGTCTTTATATTTAGACTACTAATGTTCTTTATTCAAAGTATGTTCTATCTTGGTAAATTGGCATCTTTTTCTAGTGTATATTATAAAGGACAAAATGAGACATTGAATTCCACTAATAGTATTGTTTCCTTACCTCATATGTAATTCCTTTTTTAGAAAATATTCTTCTCTAACCAGTTGGCACTTGTTTTCTCCACTCTTTTCTGAAATGAATGGTGTTGTAAGAAACATTCTTGTTTATAGTTTGTGCATTTTGTATAAGTTCAGTATAAATTCCTATATGTGGAAGTGTTAAAAGGGGAATTTACATTTAATTTGGGTTAGGTGTTGTCAGATTTCCCTCTAAGAATGTTTCAATATCTGTTTTCCCACCAGTGTACAAAAATGCCTGTTTGCCCACACTGTTGCCAAGAGTGGATATTAGTTCTCTTTTACAATCTTATTTAGAGATATATTTGCATCCTTATGACACTTTGTGTAGCATTTGACCTTACTGACCATACCTGCCTTGAAAGTCTTTTTCCTTTTGGCTTCTGTGCTCTTTTGCATTTACACTGATGATTATTTTATTGTTCTTGTGAAAGCTGAGGGCATGAGGTTAACTGTAGTCTTGAATAGTAGACCTGTCCTCTGAAGACAATTCCATAGTGGGTCAGAAGGCTATAGTCCAGATACAAACCTTTCTGCTGGTTTGGCTTAATGTAGTGATAAAGCATAATGATTTTTGAGGAGCAAATGAAACTTCACTTAGACCATTCCTCTTGAATTTCTCCACTAAGTGGTAGTTACTTCAACCAGTAATTTTCAAAATTTTTAAAAATAGAGAAAAATATTTCAAAGGAACAAAATCATCTAGGAGATGAGGTTTGAAAACCAAGGATGTAACCAATTAAAAAAACATAAAAACCTAAACAAAAAACATGTGGAGTGTGCCATGCTGCTCATGCTGTTTGACAAGGTCCAGGCACAAGGAGGAATCCTGAAAACCAGAAACCTCATAGCTGGCCCCTGCTAATTCCCACACTTATTTTTGCAGTTATGATGTTGGTGATTGGGCTCATATATGGGAAATCTTATGTATTTAAGATTTATTAATCTTTAGTAAATAACATAGCCCAAAATATTGATTAAAGCAGCAGTTCCGGAAATGAAAGTAGTGTTAAGGGACCAACTGTTCCAGGCATATTGCCACAAATAAGGGAGGCCGAACAGCCCAGGCCTCTTAGAACTAGATGCACTTTGTTCCTCCTTTTGTAACATTTGAAACATGATTAACCAGGAGTTATGGTAAACCGGGCCATAGAAAAACCCCCATAGAAAAACCCATTCTCCCAAAAAACTTATATGAAACAGCAAAGTAATAAAGATTAATAGTCCCCACTGCCCAGAGTCCCCTTTATGTTGTTGATAATATTAGAAGACACCTCTGGTATCCCCCTCATAGAAAGAATTTATGAGCAAAATAAGAAAATTTATATTTATAAATATCCCATATATAAAGTTTATAATAAATTTATGACAAAATATTATTATATTAATGATAAGGTAGTAAGAGCAGATTTAGTGTCATTATATGAAAGATTAAAGAGAACTGCAAGGCCCTGGTTCCTGTAGATGCAGAAGGAAAGGTGTGAACATCTGAAATTGTGAAATGAATATTATGAAAGAATAAGGTATTTTTATTGTATTTGTAGGAATGTTAAGGAATGGGTGATAAGAGTACCATCCCTAAATTTTAAATGTAAGACCCAACCCACATGTGTAGGATAGGATTTAATTAATAATATAGTTACACATAATAACCAGAAAGTATATAGCTTGAATTTTATATAATCTGCTTAAACTTTATATAGCCTTAGACACATATCTTAAACTCTATGCTTAAAAGCAGACATTATGCTTAAAAGCAGACATTATAAACCACACGCTGCCACACACCATTTTCCTGTCTAGCACCTAGCATGTCACCTACATCTCTGGCCAAAAAGGTTAAGGGAAAGTTAAACATTAAATGTTACAAGAAAGCTGTTCAAAAAAGTGATAACATCTGTAATGAGCCGGAATTATACAAAACTGAAGGAAAAAAAACACTGTACCATCCTTGATCAAAGAAAATGTGTAACATTATGTAAACCTTAAAAAGATATAAAAATAAAAACCCTGCTACTTGATGTCAGGAGATATTACAACCTTAATTGGGTGTTTCGTCTCCTCACTCATCTCCTCACTCGCCGATGCTGTCCTTTCCTTCGTGACCCACACCTCGGCTGGAGCTGGACTCCGGCACATATGCAATTGAAGACACTTTTGATTATCTGTTAGGATGAACCATTGAAATTGCTATTTTTTTGAGTATAAGCAAGTTGAGTATCAGTAATTTATGTGACTAACCTAATAAAAGATAGATGATCATTTGTGGTTGGTACATCATGAATTACCTTCATGTCACTTGGAGGTGTTCTTTTTCACTTCACACCTTTCAGTTTTCAGTGATAATTTCTAGAGATCATATAAAATTGTTTCCTTTATTTGCTCATTTTTAAGCTTTTAAAATTGCCATGTCAGTTGGGTCAGAAGATGGGCTTCAGTGTAAACTCAATCATGTGTGGAACTTTCAGAGAACTGCTGTGTGTGTATAAAAGTATTACTTACATTTTAATGCTTAGAAAAATTGAAGAAGGTTTGAACATACATACATGTAAATGTGTTCCACTACCTGCCTTTCAGGCTTCTATAACCAGGTCTCATATACTCTTATCATTTCCTCCATTTTCTAAGTCCCTTTTTATAATATATTTGGTGCAACATGGCCTAGCAAATAGTCATATTTTTATACTGTTATTTCTTTTGACTTAAAGCTTTTCTCCCTATGTTGATTGAAAATTTATTTTACTTGTCAATGCTTATTGTGCTAGGCACACAATAGGTGCTTAATGAATTAAGTATATTCAGAAGCAGACTAAATGAAAGAAAATTAAACAAAATAATTGCTATGTTTCAAAGACGATTTTGTGGGTGAATTTTTCCTGTTATTTTTTGCACATTTTGTATAATTTTTCTCTAGTACTCTAAACATTTATAACATAAAAAATAAAATATCTATTTTTATTCTAAAAAAATAATGTCCATTAGATAGTTCTTTACTGATGTCTTAAACTTGTAATTGTTTTATTAACATTGGACCCAAATATATATTATTCATTTAGGCTTTAATGTCTATTTCAGGTTATATTTATATGTATTCTTTTTTAATAGGAGGAAAGGATAGACGAAGTGGCCTCATTCTGACAATTCCATTATGCCTGGAACAAACAAACATGGATGAGCTGAGTGTCACATTGGACTACCTACTCAGCATTCCAAGGTGACTCTAAAGGTGTCTTTTCTTAAATCTCAGTTTGTTTTCATTCACTTATTAACAATTTCTGTTATTGTTATGTTTTGTTACCTGCTTGATTAGCAGTGAAATGACAATTAAAACAATAGAATCACTAATTTGTGATACCTGTGTAGATAGAATAGACTTTTTTTATGCTCTTGATATACTGAATAATATACAGATTTCTAAAATGTATGTACTGTCAACTTTTAAAGAACACAAAGAATGAGATCTAAAAACTGCGCAACTTGAGAAAACTTACAGAAATAAATTTCATAGAAAGAATCTTTTATTTAGGTAGCTATTTCACTGTATAGATATAAATACATCTGTAAAGAGGCTATTAGAAACATAACATTTTTAAATTTAAAAAATGCAAAAATTTTCTTATTTTAATACAAAGGTCCTTGGATTTTTAAGTTTTATTTTTCTTGGGTGAAGACAAAATTTAAACCTTTCTTTTTGCTTAAGCTTACCCATGACTTCAGCAAAAACAAGAAGGCCCTCTCCTAGTTTCCTTTCCCATATATGATACTTGTGAGTTGGAGTCTGGCTGCTCACTAGAACCATCTGGAGATTTTTCTTCAAAATTCTAATGCCTGAGGGTCTACCTCTGAGATCCTGATCTGATTGTTCTTAGGAGGCCTGCTCATCAGACTTTCTTTTTAATTCTTTAAGCTTCCCAGATAATTCTGATGTGTAGCCAGATTTGCAAATATCTGGCTGCAATAAAGTATGAAAATGAGGGCAGATTTTTTGTGTTTGTAAAATATGGAGATGGTGAAAGGAATAGAACTATCTCTCATATAATACTCTTAGGTTCTAGATAGTGAATTTAAAAATTTTAATCAGAGCAACAATTCTTTGTATCTCTCCCAGTATTTCCAGTATTGACATAATAGATTATTTCATTTTAAAGCACTTTGCAGAGTACAGAGTTAAAGCCATATTTTAGAACAACTGACTTTAATCATGCTTTCTCCCAGTATTGGTCTGTAATTTAATGATTCTACTGTTGATTATTTTCTTTTTAATATTGGGAAAATAGAGGTGTTCAAGTGAAAATCTTCATTTTTTTTTACTTTCTGAAAAGGGGAAGTTATAAGATATCACAATGTATTAGTATTGAATAGCCGAGGTAATCCTCTGAGCTACTGATTGCTTGTTTGTATTACTCCCCACTAGATAACAAACCTAGGTTAATGACACTGGCTAACATAGAACTCACATGTAATAAAAAGATACTCATGATTCACTGATAGTTAAATGTAGTTAGGGAACTTAGAGACTATCTGACCCAACTGCCTTATTTAATAGTTGAGGGAATTGAGACTCAGAAGTTAAAATTACTTGCCCAGGGTCACACAGCTAATCAGTAGAAGAACTGGGACTAGACTATAATTCCTGACACTAATCCAGAACTCTTCATACTTCAAGTGAATAGAGGATAGTGCAGTTGCATCTTATGTGAGGTGAGGTTCTCTGAAGTTATAATGTAAAATTATTGAGTCAAAATTAGCCTTGAAAAATGCCTAAGGAAGAATTAGAGACTTACAATTTTTTTTATGAACAGGGTAGGTTTCTCTCCAGCACTGGAACATGTCACTGAGGCTTAGTTCTAGAAGACAGTTAGCTTATGATTAGGTTTGTGATAAGAAAATTTATACTTGTGTATACTAGAATCATGCTCAGCCCAGCAGGCTGTTTACAGTGTAAGAGGCACTAGATAACTGAGGCAGGTTAAGGGACCAGCAATTTTCACTTGTGTCTACTGTTTGTTCATTCTGGGTATGCTAGCAGGAAGTACAATGGAGGGCAAACAGCCTACACTATTTAAATTATCTCTCTTTTATATAAATATACAATAATGCTATTCAGTGTAAATTATGAGTGAGTTTCTACATATCCACACATACCTGCTAGCTAATAGACAAGAAAAAAGTTGAAGCAAGATGAAAGAACTTATGGTAGCAAAGCAGACACCTAGCTACTTAATTTTTAATGATCATTTTGCTAAAGTTTGGTCTTCCTAAATATTTGTGAAACCTTTAAATTGTTAGCCATCTACTTTTGTGGATCAGCCTTCTGTAACTTTGGCATTTAATAAATAATTGGCAGCTCTGTGTCAGTACTTATTTCATTAGAGAGCTAGAGTGTTTTTTTAGCTCTTCATTTTAACTGCAGAGCAGTTAATTAGGTGCCATCTTAAAAACTGATTTTTCTCCTTCAGAATGTCATTCAAAACTGTTTTTAAACTGTAGTCCTCCCTATGTCTTATTATGAAAAATTTCAAATATACAGAAAAGTTGAAAGAATTGTACAGTAAACACCATTTATGTCCAGCACTTAACAAGTCTGCAACCAAAATTGTACTTTATCACCTATCTATTCATTTACGTACCCTTCTTTCTATCCCAGCACTATTTTTAAGTTCACCCTGTCAGATCAGGCTCTCTATATGCCTAGAAGGTTTTCCTTTTTCAGTACATGTGCATTTTTTGTATGACTTGCTTGTGTCTCTCAATCTGCTATTGAAGTTTAACTCCTCCCTGCTGTGAATGTCTTTAGACAGCTCCAACAGTGTAACTAAATAATGTTGTCTTTTCCTTACTGGAGATGTCCAGAAATGGACTCCTTTTGCAGTGAACATGTTAACATTTTGAATATAATAATAGCTTTTTACAAGTTACATTAAAATGAAAAGAAATTACCCAGTTTCTTATCTGTACTTTATGCTTATTTTTAATGACTGGGACAAGGTATGATAAATACTATTTTAAATAAGTAACCCAGTTGAGAGTGGGGCTATTTCCTCATTCCTTGCTACACAGGTTGGCCCAAGCTTGCTTTTTGTTTCATATTCTTGAGTAGAGGGCTAAGAAGAAAGGAGAGCGTCAGGCCTGGCCTGAATACCAAGTTTATGTTGAGGTAACTTCTCATGTCCCATTCTATGTGGAGTTAAGGAATAACTATTACTGCTCCATTTTCTATAAAGGGTGAGTTACACGTTTTAATAAGACTGACAAATTTGGATCAGCCTGAGTGTTAAATTTTAGAAGAGGTAAATGGAGTTTTTCTTTGGTTTCCTTTGGCTTTACTATACATTTTAGACATAACAGGATCAGAAATTGTGAGGTCATGATTCAGATGGCAGAATCAAATTCAAGATTCTCTTATAAAGACAAAAATCTATGTTAACCTGTAAATCTTTTCATTAAAAAAATAAATACTGAGGTTAGTTCTAACTAGAACCTCACAAGTAAGTCTTTATCTCATAATTTCATTACATATTTCAGAATTTTAAATCAGAAGCACATCCACATTCCTGCACAGAATGAGATTTGTTTTACCACTATTATATGAATTGTGATTTTGAGACATTGACTGCTTTTCAGAAACATGAGGCAAAACATATACATCAGTTTCTCAACCTTTTTTTTTTTTATTACCTTAGTTAAAGGAGCCCTTTTAGACAGTTTTTTTCTATTCACTTCTGCTTGGTATCATAGTAGTTTGCAGTCAAATTATAGTCTGTTATTAGACTGTAAACTCCTTGAATGCAGAGCCAAGTTTATCTCATCTACAATGCTAATAAAAATGATTTGGAGACTTGAGATATTTATTATCTGCATATTGAAGGAAAGAGCCATACTTGGCAACAAAATCTTAGAAATGACCTAAAATACATCATGAAAGGAACTACAATAGCTCTATCTAGTTTTATAATTCTTTAAGATGGTGAAATTATGATTTGAATCCCATATGCATAGTTTTGTAACTGCCAGTATTCCATAAGGCATATATTGTATATGTTAAGAATTTTAAAAAATCAGTGGATATTCTTATTCAAAGAAAATCTTATGAAGCCAAATTTATGAAACAGATAGAAGTAGAGGTCCACAGCCATTTCTGCTCATCTTTATCTTCCCTTCCCATATTACACTAACACTGCAGTGCCTCCTCCCCAATTTTTAAGGAGCCTCCCTTGTGCTTACAGGACTCTGCAGAGCAATTAGAAGATAATTTCAGTGTAACACCTTTAATTGATCATTGTTTTGTCTTTATACTTGAAAGGTTCAGTATAGGAGAAAGGTTTCTTTCTCCTCAACAAATGACTTTTAAGCAAATAGAGGTATAATTGTGTTGACCTTAAAGTTACTTCAAAGCATTGTAGTTAAGTGCTCTGAAAAGTCTTTATGCTGTTGATATGTGCTTTTTAAATATTGATTTCATTCATTGAATACATATGTATTGAAAATTTATAATGTGCTGTTTTAAAATGTGATAGCTAAGCCAGTATTTCCTTTCTATGCCATGTATTTTTTATTTTTCTGTCCTCTCTGTGCCTTTTCATATGCTTACATTCACACAGAGGGACTTCTGAGTTGTCAGGCTAGTCTAACATAGCAATAACCAAACTAATTTCTCTCTCTCCATTCTCTCCCCGTTTTGCACATAAATATGAGATTAATTTTGCCAAAACAGCAGCTCTATCTTCTTCCTCTGTTTTCTGTGATCTCTCCTTTCTAAACAGTGAATTCAATTTAATAGCCATTTATTTTGCTTATACTAAATAACAGACATTGTACATTGTGCATTGTAAAGGCAAAATAAACTAAGTCTTTGCTCTCAAGAACAATCTTTCAGCCTTCTTAACTGCTTAGTTTAATTACTTGTATTGTACAGTCTTCAAAATATCAATTCTTATCCCTATTTCATAGATGCAAAAGTGAGGGCAATTAAGAAACTCTCCCAAGTTAGTAAGTTGTTCATTTGCTCACAGTCTTCCAGCTCTGTCAGTCGTTTTCATTGTTTCATTTGCTTCTTTGTACAGATAGTTCCCAAACTATTCCAGCTGTCCTCCATACTTCTAGCACTTGCTGTTTCTCACTCTTTAGGCATTTAACCGAATGTGCTTAATGATAATTCTAGAATTTTTACATTTAATATTTGTCCTTTTAAAAAATATCCAAGGTATATGTTGT